TCTCGCGTATAAGAGGCACAGTGTGCTCGCGCAGTCCGAGCGCCACTTCGTTGCGCGTGAACTTGGCGCGAGGCACTACCGTGCCTCTTGATATAAGTCTATGATAAAATCTAGGTAGCAGTAATGAAAGCTTTTTAGCCACCATCATGGAGATAAAGGAGGGAGCGTTGTCGAAAAAAGATGAAGCCTATGCAGCCATGTTTATATCATAGACTTATATAATAGACAGAACATTTATATGGCAAAGTTGAGAACAACATTAAAGGACAGAGATAGTGCTGGAGTAGTTGTCTCTCTCTCTTACAATAAGATGGTGGGGGACCAATCATCTCACAAGTCTATGCTATCACCTCTCACTATCACTTTCTCTCAATTGACTCTCGAACTCTATCTTCGTTGCTCTCGGCCTGCCGCGGCCACCAATCAACTCACTGCTAGAAAAGAAGAGAATTACTCCACGACTATTTCTGTCTCTTTTAACGAAGCTTCAGCTCCTCTTACACGAATGTTCCGTCTATTATATAAGTCTATGGTGCAACCACACGTCTCTTTCCAGACAATCAGTTTAGTAACAATTCTAGGAACATCGAAAAAAAAAACTATTGTCTAGGGAAGAATTGAGAGTAAAAAATATTGTACAAGAATTGATGTTTTTAGAAAACAAAGATCGATTTTAAAATAATCGAAGTAACATCGGGTGCGTTCAGACAATTCACAAAGGTTGAGAGGTCATCACTTATGATAGGATTATTCTTCAAAATCTGCAGCGGTTCCAAAAGTATGATTCAATCAGAAGTGATTATCTCTCAACCGTTGTGCAACTGTTGAGTTGTCTGAACGCATCCATCGCCCATCAGGCCTGGTTTATGCGAGCAATAACTGTTAACTTATGCCGGAACCGGTAAAGTTTAACTATACGATTTTAATACTTCTGTTTATACGAAATTGCCGAATGCGTATAAACAGAAGTATTGGAATCCTATAGTTAAACTCTACCGGTTCCGGCATAAGTTAACAGTTATTGCCCGCATAAACCAGGCCTCACTAGCGGCTGAAACCGTCGTAAAAAACTACAATAAGATGGCCGCTCTCAGTCTTCTCCCTGTTGCAAATAGCGTAATAAACGTATATTTTGTCGTTATTTATCAATAAGAACGTGATATACAAGTCTTCAGTTTTACTGTGTTTATTGGTGCTTCTATACAAAACAGCTTTTTACCTCCATTCAGAACTTATTTCGACTATAATTATTTTATCTACTCAAATTGATTTTTCTTGCGCAAGCAAAATTTGAAACAGCTGGAAATGAAACGTGCTTGAGCTTTTTATTGTTACGGCTGTATTAAATATGTAAAGAAATCGGTTATAGAGAAAAATACTTTGAATTTCAGTTACAGATTGAACACATTACAAGTTATCTCTCTTTTTTACTAAAATCAAGATGACAAAACGAACACTGTTCAGAAGTATTAAAATTCAAAATTTTCACCAATATAAATTTCAGCACTGACTTTTGCTTCCATTTTTATATCAACAAACAAGCCTAATGGATCAAACAAGTTACTCCCATACCAAGGATCAGAGATCCAGTGATAAAAACTCTGTCCCTTATACCTCATGTTCAAGAACTGAAGAAGAGATCCAGAGAAGAAGAGAAGAATGGAAATGTCAGCAAGAGTTAGAGAAGGAACATGAGAGATTAAAACAACAAAAAATTGAAGAATGGAGAAGAAAACGGGCCCAAGAGCTGGGTAAAAGAAGCTCTAGTGACTCTCCTCCTCATCATCATACAGGAAGATCTTCAACAAGTCAATATCTATCTACTTTCAAAGAGTGAGTCTTAGATAAGCAACTGTAAGAAAACATCTTACTTAACCTTTGATCAATTATTTAATAATGTTTTTAAATGAAGATAAGATACAAATTAGTTTTGATAATATAAATTATCAAATCTTGAAGCCAGCTAATAAAAAAATTAAAAGAGATAAAACATTCAATAAGGTAATAAAGAGCCTTTCATTTATATTACCAAAGTCAGCCTTAAAAAGTTACAGTTGTTGCAGCTATATTGAGGGTTATGATATCACAAGTGAGAAGTCCTATGACTTTTTTACCATGCAAGTTTTTAGATTAAAATAAACTACTTGCATACTAGGAACAGCATTTATTAATGCACAAGACAAGAAGTAAATTACTTAAAAAGAGTTTTCATTTTTATTAATAAATCTACATATATATATATTTATCTACATATTTACTCATGTCATAAGAAAGGTCTGTTTTTGATAAGAAATAAACATAAAATAGCACAATACACAGTACTTGTATGATATAAGTTTGTCAAAAGAAGTTTATAGAAATAAACACTTCAACTGTTTTCTTTTTGCTTATAAAAGCACATTCATGCAAAGTTATCAGTTACGAACACACAACTCTATTGTTTTATGGATAATAACATGGAAAAACAATATTAGAATTGATAAAAGTCTTTTAAAGGCTTCAAATATGTCTTACATCAGATATCCTTATAGAGCAAGATTACTGTATAATAATACAATAATAATAATAATAATAACATAAAGATATAATTGTAACATGATCAAATTTTTTTCTTAGAAAATCAAACAGAGAAAAACCCCTGTTCAAAGGTCCAGATGGTGCACCCATTAATTCGACAGAGTTACGTCAAATTAAAGTTAATATTCGCAGAAACATCCCTATTCCTGAAATAAAACGAGACATACCTAATATTGATGATGTGATTATCTGGAGAAGAGATGGTAAATTATTGCATTTATTTGAATCTTTATATTTTTTTTTTTTTACCGAAGCTTGATTTAATATTCATCAGCGCAACAAAGGAAGAAGCTAACTTCGATGCTTGAAGTAGTTTTTATTAAACTTATCAGTTTTATTGCCATATCAATTATATAAGATGTAAAGATATAGTCACGTCAAGTCAAAACATTGTCAAATTGAAACATATTATTAGACCATTATTCATAATCTAATTTTATATTTAAGATGACTTTAAATATTAGATTTAACTATGATTCTTAGCCACATATTAACTTCTACACAAAGATTTCATTCCCATAAAAAAATCATCACTGAAGATTTAACACTGTGTTTTAAAAAGTATGAAAATTGTTACTACATTTTATAAAGCAAAACTAAACGGTTTAACAAAAATAAATAACAAGAATATTTTTTCAAATTTAATGTAAAATATTTTTATTTAGTAAAGATAAAATGTAAATTTGTAAGAATTTTATATTACATAAGTATGTTCTATATATCTCAAGTATAACATTACAAATATCAAGCTTTGTTTAATGGATAAAAAATTATTTTTCCGAATGATATAGACAATATAGGTATTGTAATAGGAAAAAAAAGAAAGCTAATATTTGACAACAAAAGAAGAGATAAAATAAACAATTATCCAAATATAAAACAGAATATCAAGTATGAAATAGTTTTTATCAAACTTATCAGTTTTTTTGCCATATCAATTATATAAGATATTCTTCGAGAATATTTCTAATATTATATTTTGTCGTTCTCATTTTTATCGCAACTTCTCGAACGGTCGCAAAGGCTGGTGGTTTTGTTCGAATATAATAATCTGTCATTTATTATATATATATATATATGATCACGGTTCGGAGACACAAGTAAGTTTAAACTTGTGGAAAATAGCTTGGTGTCGCGCGCCGAGTATCTCACTTGCAAATACGTATAACTGTTACGAACAAAATATTTTTTATTCGAAAGTAGCAGCTCCGTGGCTCATCGGTTATTACTGAGTGTACGATACGTCTTCTCTGGGAACGAGCGTCCAGAGCCAAACGGAACATTAGCTTACCTCAAGGACACTGTAAACTTACGAGAACATTCGGTCCNCGTTCGGTTAATTGTGAATAAACTGTTATAAATTAACTCACTGAGTTCAGATCGTTATTTATATTCTTTGGTCGTTATAACCCGTTGGTGATTCGGCAAACAAAAAAACAACTTTAGTGTAGTTGTGTAAACCGCAAGCGCGTCTATAGGTATAGAATCATGTTTATACTACAATACACTAAGAAAAAAGTTTCTATAGATTCTTTTTACTTTTACTACAACTGTTTACTAAATATTTATAGTCTAAATCTGATCTTTAATTTGAGTACTAAAAGAGTTGTAAGAGCAAGTGTTCAAGCAATGATTTTCTTAATAATGCAAACCAATGCACCTGTGCAATATACAAATACAATATAAACCGTTTAGGAGAAGGATCTAAATCAATATTTGATAGAACGGAAATAAAGCAGGGAATTATTAAAGGCGATGAAGAGAAAGAACACCATACCGTTATGACAATAAAAGATCAGTCAGGTATGATAAATTTATACTACAAACTCAATTATACTGTTTTAATATTTTAAGTTTGCTACTTTGGTATTGAAATAATTAACAACTATTGACAACTATTGTTTTTTTATGTTTTTATATTTTTGTTTATATATTATACTTTTATACTCACAAATATTTTATATAAATGTGTATTTTATATAATATGTAGTTATGGAAAATTTTTATATATTAGAACTAGAACACACTATATTTTAGGTTCTACCAAATCACGAGCATCAAGAAAGCGATCTCTTTCACCGAGTTCAAGTAGGATTCGTTACAGTCCCCAATCTCAATCTTACAGTCACTCCAGGTTTGATCTGTAACACTTTTTTAATAAGAACACTCTCAAATACATACTTTTTCTTAAATTTTAATTTCGTAAAAACTTCGAACTACGTTAACAAAAAGAGTTATTATAGATATGATATTTGCTATTATTAGATCGCTTTGCATTTTTTAAATATGAAGTAATATTACGACTAAAAGATTTTTTTGTACAAATATAAAGTTTCTTTCTTTTACTTTGAATGAGAATATAGGTACTGTTTTTTATCAGAACTTTTTTGTTTCTTATTAGGTCATTTATAGAAGTTACATATTGTAATGATAGATATCGTGAGAAATCACGCGAACGTTCTCGTGAAAGCAGAGATACAGAAAGAAGCAGAGATAGAGACAGAGACAGAGACAGAGACAGAGACAGAATCAGAGATAGAGATAGAGATAGAGATAGAGATAGGGACAGGGACAGGGATAGGGATAGGGATAGGGATAGAGAAAGAGAGAGAGATAGAGACAGAGACAGAGATCGGGACAGAGATAGATACATTGAACGGAGAGATGTAGAAAATTACACCGGACCACTACAACTGTATTCAGCAGATTCTCTTCATCCCTACGTAAGGAAAAACTATCTCTTAAATTTTTGTGCTAAATTTGTGTTTTTTTTGGGGCTTATATAATTGATTTAATTTTCATATAATAATAATGTCTATATAGAACTTTCCGAGACCAATTATTCCTATAGTGGGCCCTATGGTTCCACTACCAAGAGGATTTAGACAAGTTTCTCCTTTAGGAAGAATTCGATATCCTCCTCCAGTAGGACCGATCAGACTACCATATCCTGGTCCGACTATGTATAGATATCGTGCTCCATATACAAAGTAATCTAAATGTAATGTAAGTGTAAGGATTTTCTTTGTGTGCTATTTTGTTTGTATGCATCATCCTTATACAGGTGATTTGAAAACTTTCAAATTGTGTAGCTGATTGATTCTATCATGTTTTAATTTAAATTAAGATTGAGAAAGTAAACAATTGAGATATTTATTGATTGTTCGGTTTTGCTGTACGCTTTGTTATTTTATGATATAAAAATATATAATATATATACATGTGCGAATATATACAGGGTGTAATTACTCCTTTATCATATGTAATAGAAAAAAATGGTTCAGGACTTTTCGACTCAGAATAATCCCTTCTATCTGCCTACGAGCGGTTAGACGGTCATTATCAGACACCCTGTATATATATATTTTTATCGGTATTTTTATGTATTATGTGTAGTTTTATTATAATATATGTTAAGTTAATATAAGTAAGACGCAAATACACACAGTAGTTGAACGAGCGTAAAAAACATGAAATGTCTATAATCGAATGACTTTTGAGCAGGTGCACTGTGAAGTGCACAAATATATGCGCATACAAAGCTGTTACTATTACATAAAACTTGACAAATTTATCCGATAGAAATCTTATAAGATGCAATTTAAAATGAAAGAAAGATACTAATATCTAACATGTATCAGTATATACACACAGAGAAATATTAATTTTTTTGTATATGGAGGATATGCTATACATATCTTGCTCGGTTTCTGCAGCCAATCTGCTGTCAGATTTTGTGAGCAAGATCTGCTCGATTTTTGGCACCAATTTGTAGACTTAATCAATAATAACAACTTCTGTATCAGATTTGTAGCCTTTTTGTTGACAACAGGTGATAGCAGACACTTGCATGATCTGCTTTTGACAGACTTGGCTATCTGGGTATATACGCATAAAAGATGCATATGCGACTATTTGTTTTAATTATATGTCTAATATATTGTACTGTATAACTTTTTATAATATATAAATACGAAAAATAAATTTATATGTAGTTTCTATATCTATACTCTCTGACACACGTTTTTATATAATTATATTTATTTATATTTTTTATTATATCTAATTATATTTTTTCTTTCTCCTGGCCGGCTCGAGGTGTTGCACTGCGTGTAATACCGATTGCACGTGCATACATCACGGAAGATAACCACGCGGTGTAATATAGCACGAAAAAGAACACACATCCTGTATATTCATCGACAAGCTCTGCTCGTGGACATGGCTACGTAGTTGCCAATGTGCACCACTCCATGGACATAGCGCTGGTTTACAGGACACCGGGATATTTGTCGTGGAGGAAATTGCAACTAAGTCGGGCGAAACTCAAAGCGTCCAGTAAAACGTCAGCTTTACTCTCCGGCTTTGCTATGGTAAGAAATAATTCAATGCCGATTCGATTTCGCGAATTATTTTCTGGTTTTCAAATGACAAACGCCAAAGTACATTCCGATGCGGAAACTAGAAAGATAAATCGTATTTACAGGTTGCCATGGTGGAGGTGCAACTGAATTCCGACACAAAAGTTCCCAAGGAAATGCTGATTGCCTTCGCAATATGTACAACCTTACTGGTGGCTGTACATATGCTGGCGTTAATGATATCTACCTGCATACTACCGAACATCGAGGCCATCTGTAATCTACACAGTATAAGTCTCGTGCATGAATCACCGCACGAGCGTCTGCACTGGTACATAGAGATCGCATGGGCTTTCTCCACGCTACTGGGATTGCTGTTGTTCCTGTTCGAAATCGCCATACTCTGCTGGGTAAAGTTTTACGATTTTTCTAAGGAGGCTGCTTGGTCGGCCTGCGTAGTACTAATACCTGTACTGATAATTTTTATTGCGTTTGCGATACACTTTTATCGGAGTTTGGTTGCGCATAAGTATGAAGTGACGGTGTCTGGCATACGAGAACTCGAGTTACTCAGGGAACAAATTGAATCTACGGATGTAGAGGGTAGGAATGGAGTGAATCTCATGCAGACTGGAGTGACACATGTTGTTTGAAAATTTGTCTCTACAATCTTTCTCTTGCCGTCTGAATATAATCTGAATTTATTATATTACATTATTTATTTTTTTATTGTAATTATAAATGATTTTATAATTATACTGACATTGATATTTATAATTATACTAATGATTTATTAGAAAGCGCGATATATAAAATGATTTTCTTTTGTTTGATTTCTTTAGCATAGTAAAAGTAATTTTAGATAATATTATGGGAATTACAACAAATTATAGAGTTCATAAAATTGTTTAACTAACAAGAGGTGCCTATATCCTGGGGGATCACTGATTTTTACGAAAATGTAGTATGGAGCAGAAATGTAGTATGGAGCAACAAATCCTAAACGAAGAAGATGCGCCGCGGACTACTAACGCGACGCCTTGTCCGCTGCGCCTCGCCGCCGCTTCGAAAAATCTTTTTTTTGCAACGGTACTTAAGCAGCGTACTAAACTTCAAACCGCGACTCCTCGAAAACACTTGAAAAGTGCATCGTCTCCGTTTAGCATATGTTGCTCCTATATCCATACTACAAGTCTCGTAAAGTTTCGTAAAAATCGGTGACCTCCAGGGTGTAGGCACTCCTTGTAAGTATTAGAGACGATACAAGCCAATATGCCGAGTGTGCAAATATTATATGATACGGAAAAATATTATTTTTCGGACAGCTTGCAACGTAATTGGAATGTTAAAAACAGGACACATTTATTAGTGTGCAAGACACTTTATGTGCACGGATTAACTCAAATTGATCTAGTGTGACAACTAAGTTCGAAAAAATAAAATTGACAACGAAAGGTTAGCATATCACAACAATATTGTCATAAATATTTAGCTAAAAATATTAAAAATTTAAAAAATTATGATTTTTTAAGCAAAAAAGTTTTTGGGAATTTTTTCAGGAATTTTTGAACATTATGATATAAATGTTAACTGTTTTAAATGGAAATATATTCTTTTTACATCGTTTAAACTTTATTTCAAAATTTTAGCAACTTTAGCAATTTTACGGATAGTTTTTAAATAACAGCTAATTACAAATAGGCTTATATTGCGACACCAACTAATGTTGAGGACTGCACCTTGCTCTTCTTCCGGGGAGGCTCAGGCCCACCTAGTACATGCAAAAGCCGCTCTTTGGGACGACTGGATAATACTTAACATCCCCATGTTCAAACACTTCAATGGTGTCAATAATGGAAGACAACGCTTTAAGCGTTGCGAAGTGCGACATAATCATTGTGTCAAAATTAAAGGAAGGTGACACAAATTCCTGAGCCTCTATTTTCTCAACAGCTAGCTGATCCTTGCGTTCGTAACTAGCTTTGATCATCTGGAGATGGAACTGAGCGAGTGTTAAATGATACAAATTAGTACAAAAAATTTATTACTTATATTTAAAATGTGTAATACAGTTTACGGATTTTAATATAGTTAATAATTCGCGCCAGTTGTCCACAAAAGAAAATTAGATCTGTATTAAAAGTAAATAGTTTATAATA